GAGAGTAGGGTGCGGGGGGGGGGGGGGGGGGGGACCAGCTAGACTCGGACAAGGAGCGCGAGACCTCACGGAATGTGCGAGGATACTAAAACTGCAAGAACAAAGGATGTCGTCGCGTAGCCTATTCTCCGCCGCAGACACGAACTCGTATTCTACCACTCTTTCTCTCTGTCTCTCTCTCTTTTATTCGGACTTACCATGTTGTCTGTACATAAGTGTATAACAGAGACAGATATAGATAAAGAGATGGAGAGTTTGGTAGAGAGAGAAAGAGAGAGAGAGAGAGAGAGAGCGCGATAAACAGATAGACAGATAAATATATAGAGGAGAGAGAGAGAGAGAGAGAGAGAGAGAGAGAGAGAGGGGGCGATAAACAGATAGACAGATAAATATATAGAGGAGAGAGAGAGAGAGAGAGAGAGAGAGAGAGAGAGAGAGAGAGAGATAGGTAAATAAATAGAGAGAAGAGTGATAAAGACAGATAAACAGATAAATAGATAGATAGCGAGATAGAGAGAGGGAGAGGAGAATGTGTCGACAGCCTCGCGTTTTACAGAAAATGGTAGCATAGTTGCATGTTTACGAGAGTCGAGACCAATAAAATGGAAGAGCTCAGCCCGATTCGGCTCGATGAGTGATGGGTTTAGGAACAGGTCCAGTTGGAGGAGGGTTTTTAAGTTGGGAGAGCGATGGCTCAACCGCGACGAGGGCTAGCAAGCGAATCAGCTGTTCGCTCTGGTAATGACAACATTCAACATAGGAGCCGTGCGAAGCCAGTGGGATGACTGCAACGAGCAATACGAAGACGAAGACGATAACAACGACAACAACCACGACGATGAGGTCGACGAGGATGACGAGGACGACGAGAACGACGACGACGACGACGACGACGATACGAACGAGGAGGATGAGAAAGTGGAGGAGGAGGACAACAACGCTGATGGTGATGGCTACGACAATGCCGACAGTATCGATGACTACGAGGAAAATGAAGAGAAGAGCGACGAAGACGAGGACGACGACGAGGACGAGAGAGACAACGAGACAAAGGGACCTCGGGGAAAGCGTAATCGTCGAGCACAAACGTACACGCACACTCGCGTAATAAGGAGGCGCGCACTGGGGATCGGAGCCTCGACGCCACGCACACACTCTGTCGTATCTCGGGTCTGCTTCTGGAAGTGCGTCTCTGGCGTTGCTGGCGGAGGGATCGGGCGGGCGTGCGGGGGAAGGGTATCAAACCCGTGCACCGTGCCTGGCTTTATAACGTGCTGATGTTTACCTCGAGCCTCGTGCGCCCGGAATGTATCATCCTTTTGCGTCGCGTTATTTTGCAGGACTCTCGGGAACACACCCGACACACAGCGTAGAAAAATAATGATTCAGCGGGGTGGCCTCGGTGTTGCGGAGCGCGCGCTCGGCGACTCGGAACCAGCTGACAAGGAGCTCGACTTCGCCAGAGAAATGGCCGAGTCTACTGAGCGCTGACGGCGGCCAGCGGCGACGAAGTTGCGGCGGCGGTGGCTACGGCGAGCGCTGACGGCGGCCAGCGGCGACTAAGTTGCGGCGGCGGTGGCTACGGCGGCTACGGCGGCTACGGCGGCTACGGCGGCGCACCAGACCAATGGACATTTGTGTGGCGCTAGCGCGCCCGAGTATATGACACGACCTCATCGTGTAATAAACCCGCGGCCGAGGCGTAAGTTAAGTCGAGATCGGCCGTCCGCGAGAGCGATTACGCGCCAGGATTCGAAGCGAGTACATCTGCTGACGAGGACGAGGCACTCCCTCCTCCCTCCATCCTTACCGTCCTCCTCGTGTATCCTCGACTCGGCTACGACTGTCTACGAGAGGATTGCCCGTCGTCTTTCGATGCTTTACCGTTGTCTCCTCCGCCCTCGAGACTTTCGGGAACTTGCGAGCATTGCATTGGCGGCGGGCAGGGAGGGACGCGAAGATTCGGCATCTGCCTCGTCTACTCGACTAATACAATTCGGCGCTTCGATTTCGTTTGCCTGATTACTCCACGTCGAAATTCCCGGCATCAACGTTACGCTAGGAACCTACCTTATCGGCCCCCGTTGAAACGTTGAAACAAACTCCCTGCTTTTTCCAATGCGACGATGTTAATTCAAATGCTGAGAAGTGCCAACTTAATCGTTACGATTGTTTCCAAATGGCCAACCGTCGATTAAATATTCGGCATTATATAGGCTGGCGAAGTTCGCGCCCGATTGACATTTGCTTTCATTTTCTCGACAATTTATTTCGTACTAATGGAAAAGATTGCAAACGAAAAGATTGGAACGACGAATGCACCTGCACAGTCGCGCACACGCGATCATGAAATTACACTGGGAAAGTGGCCGGAGGAAATAAATATATGTAGAAGTGTGCGAAGAAGTCGTTGATTCAAGTCCTAGTCGTTAGTTGCATAAAGAGATTCGTAAGTTTCAAATAGATTATGAATTTAATGGACGAGGGCGTTGTTAATTTGTTAATTTATAATGTTTGAGCCCGTAAGTAAAGCGAAATAAGTTCGACTTCCTCGAAATAACAAAAACGCCATTTTTAAATTCCGCTTTTCTTTCATTCAAATTTCCCCATTATTTAGATTATATTAGGAGTAATTTTTCATTTCTTACTAATTGAGTTAAATTAATTATAGTAATGAGAATAACTAGGATATAATAATTAATAAGAATCGAATGAAATTATACAAAATTTGTTGACATTATTCATATGTGCTTCGAGCATTGGTATTAGAAAATTGAAGAAAAAATATTAGCAAATTGACAGTACGAAAAATAAAAATAATCTAATTAAAGTTTGGCAAGTCTGTTTTATAAGTCTGTCTTGTTTACACAGTATTATTTGACATCGTGAACAATACAAATCATGAAATTCCAATGTTAGAATGTACGATGCGTTGAAGTTAAATGCTTAACTAATAAAAAGTATATCATTTGTTTATTTTTCTTTAGTTTTACAAATATCGTTAAATTATGTTATTTGTGGAAGACAAAAATGACATTTTATTATTGCGATGAAAATCTTTGACGTCGATATGTATTGAAGAAATTTGAAATATTAGTAAAACCCAGCTCAACGAATACGTTAATTGTTAAAATTTATTATTTAAATTAACTATCAAAAGTCTAAATGAGATATATTTTTTATCTCTACGATTTAAATACATTGAATGATGTAGATTAAATTATTTCATCATAACTTATACTTGGATATTTAAGGCTTGTTTTTGGCTCATTTAACACATACTTTTATGTTAAAGTTAAAAATGGCTTAAAATTAGCGTTGAAATGGAAATAATTTTATCTCTCTTTTCTTATGCGCAAGTTTAATTTTGTGTATCCATGTTTTTATCGTTATTTAGTTTGTTTATTTTTTTATTTTCTTTTCTTTTTTTTTTTTTTTTTTTTTTTTTTTTTTTTTTTTGTATGAAAGGTCTCATTAAAGTAAATATGATTTTGTTTTTTATATTAAAAATTACAATTATTTTTCGACAAGGTTAAGAAAAAATATCATAATCATTGTATGAAATTTATTAATTACTTTTTATCGCTATTTCTGCGAATGAAAAGCAAATGTTGAAATAATTTGCTCGTTACAACATTAATTAGAATCTATGTAACACGTTGCCTATAAAATATTACATATACGCACAGAGATACAGACACCCCTCCCATCACCGCTCACCCTCCCCGCCCCTCACCACACCGGACATATTTTATTTTTAACATATTTGGTATCTGAGATTGCGCGAGCACGACAATGTTTTTACGTGCAATTGATTCGAGTAAATAATAACATTATGACACTAGATGCAAATATACTATATGAAATACTTTTTTCTTCTACGCGCATCGAGGTTTCCTCGATAATTCAAAATCAAAACTTTCTAGCGCCCAAGTTTGTATTATTCGAGATATTTGAAATGCGCATGTGCCCGTAGTCGAGTATATTTACTCATAGCGCCACTATGTCCGATTATGGAATTTAAACTTTAAATGCCCGCCATTTAATTGGAGTTTCAAAACCTGCACGTATATTTTGTTTAATGGCTGGTTAATCGGTGATACGCAACGTCCTGACAAAGAATTAATTTTTTCTCGAAAATGACCAACTCAGTCTTACAAAAAGGTATTTGAATTATTTCTGAAATTGACAATTCGTGGCTTAAGCAAGCGCACACTTAACGGTTGTGTACTCCAAATTGCATGAGCCAAAGGGGGCGACGAGCGTAGTTTGAGGAAGGTGAGAGGCAACGTGAGAAAGTGTTGGTGTGACATTGACGATGCCAGTGCTGGATATTAAATTTTCCGTTAGAGGTGTCGCGAATCTGGCATCTCTGGGAATGCTGGAAGCGATCTAGAGGCGATTACTGAGTCTATGCTACTTCGGAAGGTCGCACAGCTGTGCCGAGTGCGATAGATTAGGAAGTCGCGGCTTGGCGACAGCTCGACCAATCGGCTGCGACCGCTCATTGGGTTAATGACACCGTATATATTTTTGAATAATCGAACGCGTATTGCCAAGCGCACGGCATACGAGCTAAAGGAGACAGTTCGTGGATATCGAGTATGTGAAAAGCAGCTTTATCCATACTTCTTTAACGATACATTGTAGCACGATATATGTGCAAAGGGAATATGCAAAGACGCCGAAGTTACTACTGGTATGCCTATGCGCAGCTATTGAATTGTTCGTTAAATGTTGGTGCAGGAGAAGATGAGGACTCGAGAGATGGATGATAGAGCTGCGTGAGAATGTTGATTGGTGTCAGGCAACGAGCTCGGCGAATTATATGAGTCCTCTAGATTATATTTACCAGTCGACCTTATCAGTCTCAATTAATCGATTCTCAACATTAGAATTTCAACAGAGACTTCAAAATAGCTTCGGGGATGTTACATTGTAGTTTAATTTTATGCAATGTTGGCTAGGGCTATTTTCGAATTTCAATTTAATTTCATTTTTCGTGGGGCTTTCATTTGGCCTGTTATTCAGGAATGATCTATGTACCTTTTTATAGATTTAGTCATTAAGATTTTTGTTAGAAGGAAATGCTGATAATAATCGATACGGTATTACAAACGCTGTATTACCTATTATCGTATTATTATTATTATTATTATTATTATTATTATTATTATTATTATTATTAACATCATCATTATCAGCAACAGGATCATCAGCGTTATTCGTTATCGTCGTCGTCGTCATCATCATCATCATCATCATCATTATTATTATTATTGGACTGTTATTGACAGTTTTATGTGTGGTTTTATATAATTTTTATGTCATTTTTAGTTTAGGTAATTATTTTATGTAATTACAGTTTATGTAATTATTACCATAATTATGATGCAATTAATGTGAAATCGGTTTAATTCGGCATATTATATTGAATTAAATATTCATTGAACGGTTAAAAACTAAATTATCCATTGCACTGTTTGGCTATGAAACTAGAAATTAAATTACAGGTAAAGTAGATATTTATTCTTTTGCGTAAGATGAGAGAATATTCTTTTATCAATTAATTCATTTATCGTTCATCGCTGTTCATTCATTATAAACATCCCTAATTAAAAAAAAATATATAATAAAACATCACCCAGCATTTTGTAATTAATTTTAACTACTTTCTTATTCGTACTAGTTAATGTTCAATAATAGTTAAATCTCGTCGTTTATAATAACAACAAAACTTAAATATTGTATTGCATATAGGCTAGAAATCAATAATAGATTAAAATTATTCTATGAATTTTATTTTTATCGAGTCTAATATAAATTTAAATAAACATAGGGACGCGCGCGCACACATAAACACGCACAAATTTGTTTGCATCGATCGTTGCTTATTAGATATTTTTATACATATATATATCATCTGCGAATTGAAAGCATATTACAATGAATAATAATAATGGATAATAATAAGTAATTATAATGGAGAATTTATATTTCACGTTATATTATTATTATTTTTTTTTTTTAAATAGAATGCATAATTATTTATTAAAATAGGATTTATTTATTTTGACATATCCTACTTTTAATTTTCAAATAAAATACTTGGTGCCTTTTCCATTAGATTACTTATATAGTCTATTAAAGTGTTTGATATTATTCATAATTAGCAGAATCGTAAAAATAAATATTATTATTATGAAAATAAAATGTAATTGTTAGTAACAATTTATTAGTCTTATTTACTATTATTATCTTACTTACATGGCATACCATGTAACATAACATTATTTGTATAATAAATAATAAAAATGCTTTTTATTATTTTAAAGCATATATAATTTAATGCAATGGAAGTTAAAAGAGTGGAATTGCCTTTAGACATATTTATAATAGTGAGTTCGGCGAACAGAAATGTCGATAGATTAAAAATTTTTATTATCACGTGTAGATTGCAGAAGAAAAACAATTTTTTTGTTTTTTTTTTTCATACATTCTTTAATATATCAACTGCTGGAGTCCATCGAAATTCTTATTTTATTTATTAGATTTACAAATTATATAAAATTATTTAATGTTTAATATACTTTAGCAAATAATATTTTTTGGATTTACTTGATAAATTAAACTCTCAATATAATACATAGTAAGACACTTTTAATCAATGAAACAAATAATGATTTTGTAATATATAATCATTTTTTAAATACATTAATTTATAATTAATATGAGTATGCTCGTTGTATAATTAGATTAAATTATAATTAAACATGATTTATAATCTATTATGATTATTACAGAAGCTAATGAAAATTGGCGTAAAGGAAATTTGAGGATATTGAAGATTAGTAACTTTATTATATAAACGGGTTATGTCAATATGTCCCTTCTAAATGTGTAATTGTAAAAAATTATCTGGCAAGAGAATTAACAGCCTTAATTATTTTATTCTAATAATAATTAAGAAAATTGATTAACTCTGTAAATTATTCGTTTTATAAATCAGCGATTCGATAAAAATTTGGAAATTAAATACTGTACTTAATAAATTATTAATAGAATGCGGTAGCATTTTATTCGATTAATTTGTCAAGGTAAATTTAAAATACACAGTTGCTAAGTCTAATTTTACACTTATTTATTGTATTTTTTGTTTACATTTATTATCATTAATAATTTTTACCAGAGTATAATAGTAATAAAAAATGCATTTAATTCGCTAACGCATATCAGCGATCGACTTGTCGAAAGTTGTAACATATACGCTCACTTCATTAATTAATTAATTTGATTATTGAATAAACAAAATAGCCAAGAGAGAAAAAAAACAATAAATAAATCAAGGCCCGTTGTAGATTGTTTAACTTATTTTAATTGACATGCGGTTGAGTATTTTCATTAGGGAAGTGGCTTTCATTACATTAGGTTGCATCTCGCTCTTATAATATAATGATAATGAATCGGTTGAAAATATTAATTTCATTTAAATAGATTCGGCGTCGAAGATCATAAATTAAATAATTATAAAGAGCTTTTAATTGAAACTCTTAGAATATCGCCATGTCGTTGTCAAGTATAGCGATGTACACGAAATAAAATAACAAAATTAAAATTCGCCTCTAAGTGATTTCTTTTGATTTCTTTCTTTTGCGTAAGAATTCTTAAAATACGTGTACGAGCGCAGTGATGAGCGTGCCAAAAGCTCAACTATAATATCGTTAAATGGCCATATTTTGAAATATAATATGCTTCTCAATATTAATCAACTTTCTTCATTTAATTACTACTATGCGATCTTTACATCAAAAAGTCCGGGTGAGAATAATTTCTCGTCAAATTATTTGCTCAAGGAAAAAAGTTCTTATTCCATAATCCCGTATCTCGTCATACGCTCGTACGGATACATTATCTGTAGTTTGTTCTTGTCTTCTTTATCGGTTAGCGCTAGATCACCTTGCTGATCCCATTGATTTTGTTGACTAATGGCCAGGATCATTCGTGGAAAATTCGAAGGATTTTCGAAAGTGGGTTGCATCGGGTGTGGATCCGCTCTCTTGCCATATCTAATTCAATACGCTAATTAAATATTGTTCCACGATATATTCGCCATTCGGTATTTCTCTAATGGCTTCATAGATAGGTCGGGATAGAGTTTTATAGCGATTATATTATATAGTGAGTACACACCGCGCTTTCCCATTCAACGTGTAGTATATTTTTATGTTGTCTAGGTACTCTTTCAGCTCGTCTGGACTGGTAAATACTTTCGGTCGCGTAGGCCTTGCTATTGGCTGGGGCTCGCTTCGTACTTCGGTCGCCCCTATTGATATAACAATCCAAGTCAAAGATACCAGGTGGAAAAGGGCTAATGGAAAGTACATTTTCCAACGATGGTTTTCCAAGCTAGAACAAACAATGTCACTCTAAATACACAACACTTTACATTGAATGTCATTGTCACATTGTCATTGCATTGGTTGGTATTGCGCAATGTATATTAGTAAGCTCAACGATCAAGCCTAGCTTGAGCAAGTCTACACTACCAGATTATCGTACTCTTGGAAAAGTGGATTAAGTCACAGTCATTCATCCATACATCGGTAGCTTAAGTAAGTGTCTGTGTTTTAAGGCACTTTCTCAAGCATTGAAAGAAAATATAATAGTAGAGAAACGTTTAGACATTGAATAAATTGATGTTAAATAATAACAATGTAAAATGCTAGTGCGAGGCATTTCCGCCCTCATTGATTAAAAAATGTTGCTGGGTAGTGAAGCAACCGAGAAGGAAAGGCCAAGTAAGAGGTTGCGTTACTTGTTGCGCCAAATCTGTTTCATTGCTGTTTGATAAATTTGATAAAGCGCGACGTGGAAGCTAGAGATGAGCATAATAATTATGGCAAAGTGGCAAAGAGCCGAAGGAGTCGCGAGGAATGGATTTTTCGAATGTTGGACAAGTCTTTCGAAGGAGCAATTTCTTACGAATTGACGCCGCGTTAATCGACGATTTTTAGTCTCTAATGACTACACTGGATGCACGAACCAACATCCACTAAACTTTTATTTTCGTTCGATTATTTCTTTTCGATGCGTAGGTCAGGAGTATGTCTTGGAAATATCATAATGTGTATAATGATTAATAGCCAATTGATTAAGAGCTTTTATTTTTTATTGACATAATCAGTTCGCGTAAGTTGCGTATAAACTGCCATAATATTTGTGTTTGATTTGTTCGGCAAAGAAAGAAAAAAATTAATAAAACCATTAAACTTCAAATGTGAAGAGTTTATGTTAACAATGGTTAACTTAATTTTACGTCATTTTATATTTAAGTCACTTAAGTTTTTAAGCAAATATATTTTATTTTTTATAGTTTGCTCATAAAATTAATTAAGAAAGCATAATTGTAAAACTACTTATTATATTGCATAATGAATTACTTTTAAATGTTTGCCATGTTTTATTATTCTATTCATAAAATAATATTTAACTTTCTAACGAATAATTAAATTTATTGCTATTAATATAGTAATTATAAACAAATTTATCCAACCAATTTTCGAGGTAAATTGGCATTATTAAAATTACTATTCATATTTAAGTCATTTAAATTATAACTTAAATGTATTTCATCTTTTCTTATACAAAAATATCCTCTAGTATAAGTTTCAATGGTTTTAATTCGATAATTTTTGTCATATTACTTTACTATTACGTATTATTAATTAATATTACCAACTAACTTTAACAATGACATTGCTTATTACATAAATAGGTAAATAGATAAATTAAATAAATAAATTTTTAACTGTTTAAGCGAGAGATATTTACAATTTAAATGACGCGTTATTATAATATAATATTTATTATAATACAGTATATACTAATTTAATTTGTCTAATAAATTATTCGAACATGGAAGCTATCTATATAAATGCATTTATCAATAAAATTTAGAAAAGGCGGTCGAAAGTAAGAAAGGAAATTTTGTATGCTATACACGTCTTTCCAATTTCTACGCAAATATAAATAAAAACATTTTATCCGAATAACAATAATTTTTTTTATATGCATAAGTCGATATAATACGATACGTGATATATGATATATTGCATAAATATATAATTCATAAATCTATATCTGCATATCGATAAAAATTGCATGCTTTTCATGAGATTACAAACCATTTTCTTTCATGCATCATAATACTTATTATTTTTATAATAGATTCTATTGTGAATATAATAAATACCTTATAATGATAAATAAATATTATACTGCGCTGATATTTCTATAAAAATTTTACTTTGTATTTTCTTATGTAATTATGCAAAATTGATTATCTCAATTTATAATTATGCTGATCTGTTAATTAATATGCATACATACGTGTTTGAATATACTATGTGGGCGTATATATATATATATATATATATATAATAGAAGCTTGAAATTCTTAGGAAGTGAATACAAGATAGTATAAGAATGTAATAAATGAGAATTCTATAATCTGAACATTATTATATTTATACTTTGTAGTTTTTAATTATATATATATATATATATATATATATATATATATAAGTACGTATAAGTATGCGTGCTTGGAATTCAATCTATTTTTCATTTTCATATACGTAATGTATATAGATTTATAATCTCGTTGAAAATTTATGTATATTTCTTTATCGTAAAATGAGTAAAGTTCATTCATAAAAATGAGGGGTTAAAAAAGTGTATATTTTAATACAATAGAAGTGTTTAAATAAAATTTTAAGAATTCTGTTAAAAATTTTTATTAATAAATCGGACACTATAAGGCTTATTTAAAAGAGAACCGTTTGTTTTAATTTAAAAGTTTACTTTGGTTTTATAAAGCAGTTTTATAGATTGCTATTAATTTATAGTATGCGATGTATAACAACTAAACTGATGCTAGTTGAGATTAAATATTATATCTTACCTGAAACAAGTATGCAAATTCAATTGTAAGACAGTTTTTCAATGGTATTTCTTATTTAAAATATACGAATTTTAATGCAGGGTTTTTTTTTTTTCTGTAAAAATAAAACAATAAACACGAGCATATAGATGCAAGAAAATAGTTTAAAATTTTATGCATTAGAATTATTTATAATATCGTCGTTCATATGAATTTCAAAAGTATTTGACAGTATTTTAAAATTTTCAATATTTCAATAGTTAAGTAATTTATGAATTTCCATGCATCGCTTCAGATTATACTTTACATAAAAATGGTATTTTTATATAAAGCAAATATGAAAAACGTAATATATTTATATTATTTTAAATTTTCAGTTATATCAGAATCACTGCTACAATGAACTACATATTTTTATTCATAAACTAATTGTATTTCAATGATTTTAAAAGTTTTGAAGTAATTCTAATAAAATTGATTTATATAATACTTAGTTCCTTTGTATTTATAACCTCATTATATTAACATTGATATATAAGTATTAACAATAACATACCACTAAGAATTTAAAAGAAGAGAATTCGAATTTATTTTACATTGGATAATATTGATTATTAGTATTCATTATACAGGGTTAATTATTTAATTTTTATTCTTCATTCGTCAAATTTTAAAAAATTCTTCATTAATATTTTTCTTTTTTTATAATGAAGATGGTAAAAAATGTATTTGCATCAATAACTCGATTAGCATAATAACAATAAACAGTATATACTTACATTTATCGACAATATTTATTTCAAAACGTGCATTAATTATTTATATTGATAGTTTAAGGTATTTTAAACAAAATAATCGTATAATGTAAATAAATTTAAATAAAATAAAATAAAAAGTATTATCGCCATTACTATATTTCGTATTTTTTTTTTTTTTGTCAACGCAAGTAACAATAAATATTTAAGTAAACAATAATTTTTTTTCGACATTACGAATTTTTATTTGAATTTTAAGGAATATTTGAACCACACTTTTTCTTGTTTTTTATCTTGTTTTTTACATAAAACTTATTTACATAAAAATTATCCGATTCAATTTAAGTGAGATTTTTTATATTAATTTCTCCTCATTAGCATTACTTTAAATAAAAAATAAACCATAAAATAAAACTCTCCAATATAAAGAAGAAAATTGCGCTTTTATGCTTGCAGAGAAAAAAAAATCCCTCTATTATCGTGAAATAAATTTTTGAATAAATTCGTCGAGCACGTCGAATAATTGACGTTTGCAATTTTATAAATGCTAGTTTCTATTTTACATATAATTTTTTTGTAATATAAGACCATCGAAACTTCAATCATTTGTCTACTCTTTTTACTATATTTATATTTGTTATTATTCTTCCTATAAAGAATAGTATGTTTCAGATGTTTTTCTAGTTACACGAATGAGTTTGACTAAATATCAAATAAATGTAAATTACAGTGCTGCATGTGTATGAAGACTATTGAAGCAAACTCGGGACAGATAATAGTATCGATTTAATGTATCTTATTAAATTTTTTGAATAATAGACTGTGTACTTTCATATTACTTAGAAGTTTATGTAAATGAATAAAACTGAATTTAAAGTAGTGTACGATAGAAAATAAATTTTCATTCAAATAATAGCTTGAAATATTTAGAGAATAACTATTTATTACGGGTTAAGTAAGTAGTATTTATGTAATTAAATTAATATTCATAATTTAAAGATGATATGACACATATTACGTAATTGAATATCTCAATAATGAAAATACGACCACCAAATATATTTTATAAAATATATTTTACTATATATTTATTTCAATTTAAAATGAAAGAATTAAATTTTCAAAGAATATATGTATTCTAATAATTTGTTTACTCTCATATTTTTTATTGATATTTAATAACAAAACAATAACATCTAATGTATTGGCAAAATTACGAAAAACTTGAAAATTCATGTAAACTTGAAGAAAATATAACATTTATGTTGTTTATTGTTGTTCGTATTTTATTTTCTTTTTCTGCACAAAATGACATATATCAATGTAATTTTAGATTTTTAATATTAGATTAATTATATTAGAATAATATTAGATAAATTTAAGAATTTATTGAAACAAAAACTTGAAAATCTAAAAATTTAAAATCCAGTCAAATAATTTTTAATTTTTTATAATTTAATATCAAAATAATTCCATACAAAAGGCATATCAAAGAAAAAAAAATTATAAAGATTGAAATTTAATAAATATAATGTGTATGTAATATACTTTTATTAAACTATTATTAATGGAAAATGTTGTATTATAAATTTTGTAATTTTTACAATTGACTTATATTATTTAATGCAAAGATGTTTACAAACTGTTTTACACATTTTATGAATAATATAAATTTTAACCAAAGGTGGTTACTCTCGATTTAGTAGAAT